CACACACACACTCTGCATTATATACACACACACACACACACACTGCATTCATTATATACACACACACTGCATTATTATTACTATGATATTTATATAGTGCCATCAAATTCCGCAGCGCTTTACAATGGGTGGACGAACAGACATGTAGTTGTAACCAGACAAGTTGGACACACAGGAAAAGAGGGGTTGAGGGAACTGCTCAATGAGCTTACATGCTAGAGGGAGTGGGGTAAAATGACATAAAAAGGTAAGGATAGTATTAGACTAATGACAGTTGCAGAAGAGGAATAAGTCAGGAGCTATTAACAGTTTAATTGATATGCTTTTATGAAGACGTGGGTTTTTAACGATTTTTTGAAGGAGTGGAGACTGGGTGAGCATCTAACGGAAGAGGGAAGCGAGGAACAGGAATGCTGCAGCCCTCGAGAAATCTTGAAGGTGAGCATCAGAGGTTGGAGTACGGACAGAAGATAGACATAAGTCTTCAGCAGATCGTAAGGGCCTAGACGGGACATACTTGTGTATAAGGGAGGATAGATAGGTGGGAGCAGCATTATGTAGAGATTTGAAAGCAAGAACCAGAATTTTAAATTGAGCTCTATATTTTATAGGAAGCCAATGTAGGGACTGATAGAGGAGTGAGACATGGGAGGTGCGGGCGGACAGGAAGATGAGCCTTGCTGCCGCATTCATTATGGACTGTAACGGCACAAGTTGGGAGCACGTAAGACCACTGAGAAGCCAAAGGAGCTAATGAGTTTACCAAGGGAGGCAGTATAGATGGAGAACAGTAGGGGACCAAGGACTGAACCTTGGGGGACACCAACAGAGAGGAGTTGGGAAGAAGAAGCAGAGGCAGAGAAAGAAACACTGAAAGAGCGCTGGGAGAGGTAGGAGGAGCACCAGGAGAGAGCAATATCTTGTAGGCTGATATTGCGGAGGATGAGAAGAAGTTGTTGATGATCTACAGTGTCAAAAACCGCAGACAGGTCAAGGAGAATTAGGATAGAGTAGTGACCATGAGATTTTGCATCGAGTAGATCATTGAATACTTTGGTCAGTGTAGTTTCCACAGAGTGCTTAACGCGGAAACCAGACTGAAGTGGGTCTAGCAGAGAGTTGGACTCGAGGAAGTCTGTCAATCTCGCATACACAATTCTTTCAAGGATCTTGGATGCAAAAGGCAGTAGCGAGATAGGATGATAGTTGGATGGGGAGTTAGGGTCAAGGTTGGGCTTCTTTAGAATTGGGGTTACAGTTGCATGTTTGAAGGGCGATGGAAATATACCAGAGGAGAGAGAGCGATTGAGAATTTTAGTGAGAGGTGGAGAAAGAGAAGAAGACAGAGTACGGATGAGATGCGAGGGAATTGGATCTAGGGAGCAGGTGGTGGGCGGGAGGACTGGAGCAGAGCAGAAACCTCTTCCAATGTAGCGGGTGCGAATGAACATAGAACAGCAGATGGATTACTGTAGGATCTGGTAGACTTAGAGTTGTGGATAAAAGGCATTTTGCACAGTCTGTTGCTCTTCATAAATCATTTTCTGCACTTTTAGAGTGTAATGGTGTTGTGGAGAGAGGCACTGAGGCTAGTGGTGTTGTGGAGAGTGAAGTTAGGGGAAGTATTGTAAGGGGTAGAAGAAAGATGAGAGTTCTCTTCTCTGATTGTAGAGATCTTGTCAGTGAAGTGAGTTGCAAAGTCTGAGGCGGTCAAGTTAGTAGGTGGAGGAGGAACAGCAGGGCAAAGAAGAGAGTTAAATGTGTGAAATAGTCGTTTGGGTTCGCGGGAGAATGTGGTTATGAGGGTATTGAAGTAATTAACTTTTGCAGAGGAAAGAGCCAAGCTGTATGAGCTCAGCATAAATTTATAGTGGAGAAAGTCAGATGCACAGTGAGACTTTCTCCAACAGCGTTCAGCAGTTCTGGAGCATTTTTGGAGGTATCGAGTGAGCTTGGTGTGTGAGGGTTGTTGTTGGGGGCGCCTGCGGCGTTTAAATGTACAAGGTGCCATGATGTCTAGTTGAGAGGAGAGGGTGGAGTTGTAGAAGGAGGTTGCAGAACTAGGATAGGTGAGGTCTGAGATAGGTAAAAGGAGAGTTTGGAGATTAGTGGAGAAATGCTCTTGGTCAAGCATTCATTATATACACACACTACACAAACACACACACACTGAATTCATGATATACACACACTGTAAATAAATATTCAACTAATATAATTTTTGGGGGATCTAATTTTATTTAGAAATTTACCAGTAGCTGCTGCATTTCCCACCCTAGGCTTATACTCGAGTCAATAAGTTTTCCCAGGTTTTTGGGGTAAAATTAGGAGCCTTGACTTATATTCGGGTCGACTTGAGTATATACGGGTATATATATTTTGTTTTAATTCTTTTTCTTTATATGTAAGAGTGTTTTGTATTATATTTTTATTTTTATTTTTGTTTAATCTTTAAAATTGGTAAAGTTTTAAAAAAAAAGTTTTTATTTTTCAAAAAAATTTTTTTTTCTGTGTTCTGTTTCTCTTTTGTGCTGCTGCTTGATTGATTGGGGGAGTGTTCATTAATTGCACCTGTGTGGGATTTGTATCCCCATAAAGGCACACCCCTAACTCACTGAGCTTGCTCACATTACTTGAAAGCAGCCTCTATTAAGTAGACTCTTTCAAGTAGGAGTTAGAAAACCAGGAGTTAAAACTAACAAGGGGTTTAAACTAACAAGGTAATTGTTTTAATTTTCTGTTTCTGGGGAAATGAGTGTTAGCAAGATTGCTGGTTTGACTCAATGCACATCTTGTTGCATGTATGGATGCCTGGATGTACCCGTCCAGGGTCCATACCTCTGTGATGGTTGTGTGCGAGTGGCTTCTCTGGAAGCTCAGATTGGAGATCTCGAGAAGCAAATCGCAACATTGAGGGAGATTGACAATCTTGAGAGGAGTCTGCTGCTCACTGAGCAGAGTTTAGTGGGGACAGGTAGTGGAGAGGGAGGAGATAAGACAGATGGGGAACAGGCATGTAGCTGGGTGACAGTGGGGCGAGGAAGCAGGGGGGGAGGGAAGAGGAAAGGGCTAGCTAGTCCTGATTTGGTGCAATCTAGCAGATTTGCCCGTTTGAGGGAAGATGTTGGGAGCATCAGCTCAGGAGTAGCTGTATTAGAGGAAGCTGTTACTTCTAACAGCCGAGCTAACAGCCCCCCTAGTACAGGTGGGGATCAAAATGTAAGGAAGGCAAGACAGGTTGTGGTGGTAGGGGACTCTATCATTAGGAGAGCAGATAGGGCAATCTGCCGCTCTGATCGGCTCAACCAGACAGTTTGCTGTCTCCCGGGTGCTCGGGTCCGGCATGTTGCTGACAGAGTGGATGGATTATTGGGAGGGGCTGGGGATGACCCAGCGGTCATGGTCCATGTTGGTATCAATGACAAAGTAAGAGGAAGATGGAAGGTCCTAAAGAATGATTTCAGGGAATTAGGTAGCAAACTTAAGAAAAGGACCTCCAAGGTGGTATTTTCTGAGATATTACCTGTGCCACGCGCTACAGTGGAAAGGCAGCGGGAGATTAGAGAGGTTAATGCGTGGCTTAAGTCTTGGTGCAGGAAGGAGGGTTTTGGTTTTTAGAGCACTGGGCCGACTTTGCGATTGGGTACAACCTTTATAGTGGTGATGGATTGCACCTAAACGGGAGAGGGTCTGCAGTGCTGGGGGATAGGATGGCTAGAAGGTTGGAGGAGATTTTAAACTAGTAGTAGGGGGGAGGGTCATAGCAATCTACAAAATGGAGATAGGACAGAAAGGAGATGGGCTTTAGCACAGTATAAGGGGGTGGAGACGGGGGAGGGGCAAGCTCAGAACAGAGAAGCTATGTAATGTTGATAATTCACAAAATATACAAGTGACGCATAATATTAAATGTATGCTTACTAATGCAAGGAGCCTAAATAACAAAATGGGGGAACTAGAGGCATTAGCATACACTAAACAATATGATATAATAGGCATAACTGAAACATGGTGGGATGAGACACATGACTGGGCAGTTAACTTAAATGGGTACATGTTATTTAGGAAAGATAGGAAAAACAAGAAGGGTGGTGGGGTATGTTTGTATGTCAACCATGATTTAAAGCCAAATCTTAAGCAAATAAAATGCGATGAGGAAAATGTGGAAGCTTTATGGGTAAATATCTGCTTGGGGGAAAAGAAGGGAAACCAACTATTGGTTGGGATATGTTATAAACCACCTAATGTTAATATTGACGAGGAACAACAGCTGTTTGAGCAAATTGAGAAAGCTGCAAATCTGGGTAACACTTTAATTATTGGAGATTTCAATTACCCGGACATAAATTGGGACAGAGGGACTAGTAGCTCAGCAAACGGAATTAGGTTTTTAAACTTGTTAAATGACTCCTTCATGTCACAACTTGTACAAGCACCAACTAGAATGGACGTTTGTCTGGACCTGGTTTTAACAAACAACATTGATCCTTTGACCAACGTTCAAGTAGGTGAGCACTTGGGAAATAGTGATCACAATATATAATGTCCTTTGAAATAAACTCAAAAAAACAAAAAGCACATGGGGAATACTAAAACATATAATTTTAAAAAGGCCAATTTCAATAAGTTAAGGGAAGCTTTACAATATATTGACTGGCATAAACTCTTTAGTGAAAAGAACACTGAGGATAAATGAATCATCTTCCAACAAATATTAGATAGGTACATTTCTCAGTATGTACCATTGGGAAATAAATATAAAAGAAACAAATTAAAACCAATGTGGCTTAGTAGAGAAGTAAAACAAGAGATTAAAAACAAGAAAAGGGCCTTTAAAGTATAAGGATGCAAACAATGCTTGCAAAAAGGCAATTAGACTTGCTAAACTTCAAAATGAAATAATGATAACTAAAGAGAGCAAAACCAACCCCAAAGCATTTTTTAAGTACATAAATTCTAAAAACAAAAATTAAAGTGTAGGTACACTAAAAACTGAAACGGAGGTGTTAGTTAACGAAGACCAGGAAAAGGCAGGAATTTTAAATAACTATTTCTCCTCAGTATATATTAAGGAAGAACCCATGGCAATAGATGTGCAAATTATTGCTACTAAAAACTTGCAGAATAATTGTAATTGGTTAACTCAAGACAAGGTGCTGCAGCAACTAAAGAAAGTTAATATAAACAAAGCTCCAGGGCCTGACGGTATCCATCCACGTGTACTTAACCCCTTAAGGACCAAACTTCTGGAATAAAAGGGAATCATGACATGCACAGTATGTGGAGTAGAAGGTTGGTTTCTATATTATTGGACCATATTTTTGCATCATATTATAATGATATATTGATAAATAATGTTTTAAGCACCAGGCACTTGGAGGTTCTTTTTCAGGTAATAACGTTCAATACTACACTTTGAATTAATTGTTAAGTAATTAATAGCACATTCATAAATATCCTTTTAAAATATAAAATTAGTTATTCATGCACAAGGCACTTTCAGTGTCTATAGACTTCAGAAAGCATCAGATAGTAGCAATCATGCACTTTAACTTAGAGACAATTCCTAAATTACACTCATTGAATTTGCACAAGATTATTGGTTATGCTGATCAGTAGGCTCTACATCGTATCCTGTGTGGCACACTACTATATGATTTTATACGAATTGTATCATCATGTCTGTATCGGTTTTTGTATATTTTTCTTGTAACATGTATTGTGGCTCTGTATCACATGTGAAGCGGCATCCATGGTGATGCGGTTGTGTTACTGTGGTAACAGCATTCTATGATGTCATTACGTACAGACCGTCAGTCAGCGTGATGACGCGGTTTCTTCACGCATGCGCGCTGGCTGACAGAGAACGCCGACATCCAGAACTCACATGTGTGGTAAGTTATAGATCCATAAGTTATGTTGTTATATATTTAATGTTGTTGTAGCTTCATTGTCTGTCATTTGATCCTGAGGAAGGTCCCTGTGTGGACCGAAACGTCGATCTTGTTAGTTTTTATGGAATAAAGCAATATCTTCACTATTTAGACCGTGAGTGCAGCCCTTGAATTTATTTTCATTTTTTGACTATGTATATATATATATTTTTTTTAAAGTATTTATATATATATAATTTTGTTTTAAGTGTATTTTGATATCAATATATATATATATTGATATCAAAATACAGTTAGAACGAAATTACACATATACACTACACATATACACTACCTAAATAAAAGGAACACTTAAACAACACAATGTAACTCCAAGTCAATCACACTTTTGTGAAATCAAACTGTCCACTTAGGAAGCAACACTGAGTGACAATCAATTTCACATGCTGTTGTGCAAATGGGATAGACAACAGGTGGAAATCATAGGCAATTAGCAAGACATCCCCAATAAAGGATTGGTTCTGCAGGTGGTGACCACAGACCACTTCTCAGTTCCTATGCTTCCTGGCTGATGTTTAGTCACTTTTGAATGCTGGCGGTGCTTTCACTCTAGTGGTAGCATGAGACGGAGTCTACAACCCACACAAGTGGCTGAGGTAGTGCAGCTCATCCAGGATGGCACATCAATGCGAGCTTTGGCAAGAAGGTTTGCTGTGTCTATCAGCGTAGTGTCCAGAGCATGGCGGCGCTACCAGGAGACAGGCCAGTACATCAGGAGACGTGGAGGAGGCCTTAGGAGGGCAACAACCCAGCAGCAGGACCGCTACCTCCCCCTTTGTGCAAGGAGGAACAGGAGGAGCAATGCCAGAGCCCCGCAAAATGACCTCCAGCAGGCCACAAATGTGCATGTGTCTGCTCAAATGGTCAGAAACAGACTCCATGAGGGTGGTATGAGGGCCCGATGTCCACAGGTGGGGGTTGTGCTTTCAGTCCAACACTGTGCAGGACGTTTGGCATTTGCCAGAGAACACCAAGATTGGCAAATTCGCCACTGGCGCTCTGTGCTCTTCACAGATGAAAGCAGGTTCACACTGAGCACATGTGACATACGTGACAGAGTCTGGAGATGCCGTGGAGAATGTTCTGCTGCCTGCAACATCCTCCAGCATGACCGGTTTGGCAGTGGGTCAGTAATGGTGTGGGGTGGCATTTCTTTGGGGCCGAACAGCCCTCCATGTGCTCGCCAGAGGTAGCCTGACTGCCATTAGGTACCGAGATGAGATCCTTAGACCCCTTGTGAGACCATATGCTGGTGTGGTTGGCCCTGGGTTCCTCCTAATGCAAGACAATGCTAGACCTCATGTGGCTGGAGTGTGTCAGCAGTTCCTGCAAGATGAAGGCATTGATGCTATTGACTGGCCTGCCCATTCCCCAGATCTGAATCCAATTGAGCACATCTGGGAAATCATGTCTCGCTTCATCCACCAACGTCACGTTGCAACACAGACTGTCCAGGAATTGGCAGATGCTTTAGTCCAGGTCTGGGAGGAGATCCCTCAGAAGACCATCCGCCACCTCATCAGGAGCATGCACAGGCGTTGTAGGGAGGTCATACAGGCACGTTGAGGCCACACACTGCCTAGGGCAGCACAAAACCAGGATACACCACTGTATATATATATATATATACACTTAGAGCATATATATATAATATATATGATCTAAGTATATTTTGTTTTATTTTACATTGTGTTTTAACTTTATTTTTATTTATTTCAGGCAGCAGGTGGACTACCTGTCATTCCAGGCACTCCCCCTGCTGGAACTGCTATGGACGGCTATTCCGTCCTTGTGATCGTGAGGTCCTCACAAGGACCACACGATAACATGGACCAGGAGGGCTGGTTCGGATCCCCAAGGAAGGCATAGCACGCTCGCCATCCTTAAGCGGTTAAATGGGAACTATACCTTCCCATGATTTTTATTGTGTTTACATGTACCCAATGTTTATCAAATATTTTTCAATCAGGTCTTTAAAATAAAATTTAATGTAGAAATCTGCATCCTGCAGCTGGGCACCTCCAATTTTACTCACTGGCAATCAAGCTCATAAATCCTGCCACTTCCTGCTATTGAACATAGTTGAAGAGGATAAACTGAAATCTTAATAGAACAATAATTTTTATTCAGTTATGTAATTTCCAGAGACATCACATTTCACTTTCATTTTGCTTTTAGAATTATGGTGCTGGATATGCAGATAGTGGTAATACTTTGTGACAGCTGCTTGCCATAGGTTGTTTTTTTATGGAAAAAAACTTCTCTCCTGACTTCTTTCCTACACATTCAAACTATACAAATATATGTACGAAATGAATATAAATAAATAGATAATCAATTTTTTAAGTACTTGGAAATTTCAGTGAACACCTCACATGTTCTTCCCAATTCAGAAAGTAGCCGAACATTGTAATTCCATTATCATCAGTACCTGTGGGGCTCATTACTCACCATTCCTAGTAAAGTGTTTGAAGTGGCCATGATGCTACGAACCTGGATGTGCAGCCGTTCTGCTTAAAATCCTGCATATGCAGAGTTATTTTGAATTATGTGCCAGGGGCTAATTGCACCATCAGTACACACTTTTCAGACTGCCTAATGTTAATTCGGTGCATATTTTACATCTTATGTCAGCACGCTGGGAACAGATATAGAAATCACCCACTTGCAGGCACTATGCCTTTTTCTATCTCCCTGTGTGTGCTCCCTCCTGCCTCGCCCTGTAACTTGAATAACCTGAAGACTGTAGTAGCTGCATGGGGGCATATAGACTG